TGGGCAAAATTGTATTTACTAAGTATTAAGTACTAAGTACAAAAGTATTTAGGTATTTTGTGTTGTTGTAAATACCAAAGTACTATTTACTTAGGTATTTAGGAGCTGCTAAATACCCAAGTACTATTTACTTAGGTATTTAGGAGCTGTCAAATACTCAAGTACTATTTACTTAGGTATTTAGGAGCTGCTAAATACCCAAGTACTATTTACTTAGGTATTTAGGAGCTGCTAAATACCCAAGTACTATTTACTTAGGTATTTAGGTGGTGCTAAATACTCAAGTAAAAAGTATTTAGGTATTTAGGAGCTATTAGATATTAAAGTAAGAAAAACTTGAGTATTTAGGAGCTGCTAGATACCAAAGTACAAAAAACGAAAGTATTTAGCAGGCGCTAAATACTCTGGTCCAAAGTACTCAGGTACCTTGGGGATGCAAAATACTTTCACTAAAGTACCAAGGTATTTAGTCGATGGCTATATACTTTCAAACTAAATACTGTATAGTTTAGGAGAAATTTAGAAAATTAACACCTCAACTTACTTTACCACAACTCACTTCACCTCTCCTCAAATCAACTCACTGTTTCAAAATAAAAAATACGGGTATATTTTTTCGGTTCAGAACAATCCTAGGAGTTGGCGGCATTAAAATTCCGACTTTTTTGTTTTTGGACCACTCTAATGGACATAGTCAAGCGCATAAAAATACGACTGTGCTGGCTTGGCAATATTGTACGCAGGGATGAAAGAAAGGCCGCCCACGAACAAAATGGAAGAACCAAGTGTAGGAGCACCTGTCTGCACTCGAGAAGAGAGGTAATTAGAGAAGCTTTTTGACCTCGGCCCAAACCGACAAACGGTTGTTGCGTAGTATAATATTTTGGCGCCTACACTTTTGCTAAGTACTTGGCCGAGGTGGCTGAGTGGTAGCGTACTACCATTCCGTAGGACCTCGGTTCGATCCCTGGCCCAAGCAACATCTATTAGACTATCAGCCTCTGCCAATAGGCTGGCCCGTTCCCATCTCTAGTAGACGAGTAATACTGTGACATTTCCATTTGTTCAAGTATCACTGTATTAGACAACTTGGAAATTATCTTTTAAATCCCATAAGTACATACTGCTTTTGTGTGAATTTATTTATTCCTCTGGCCATGGGACTTTTGTTGCTTTAACATAAGTTAAACTGTTGCCAGTCAGATGTACACATTTGCCGTTATAGAAGAAATAGTGACNCCTCGGCCCAAACCGACAAACGGTTGTTGCGTAGTATAATATTTTGGCGCCTACACTTTTGCTAAGTACTTGGCCGAGGTGGCTGAGTGGTAGCGTACTACCATTCCGTAGGACCTCGGTTCGATCCCTGGCCCAAGCAACATCTATTAGACTATCAGCCTCTGCCAATAGGCTGGCCCGTTCCCATCTCTAGTAGACGAGTAATACTGTGACATTTCCATTTGTTCAAGTATCACTGTATTAGACAACTTGGAAATTATCTTTTAAATCCCATAAGTACATACTGCTTTTGTGTGAATTTATTTATTCCTCTGGCCATGGGACTTTTGTTGCTTTAACATAAGTTAAACTGTTGCCAGTCAGATGTACACATTTGCCGTTATAGAAGAAATAGTGACATCTTATTTGCTAAAATTGTTGTTTTTCGTGTTGATCGATGATACATTCACCCAGGTAGAGAATGTTTTTTTTTTTCGCCTGCGAGTAACATAAGTTAAACTGTTGCCAGTCAGATGTACACAGTTGCCGTTATAGAAGAAATAGTGACATCTTATTTGCTAAAATTGTTGTGTTTTTCGTGTTGATCGATGATACATTCTCCCAGGTAGAGAATGTTTTTCCCAGCATTGACGGCTCGATTCCAGCAAGTACGGCAGTTTGGACAAAACTGGTACCTGTGTGGCGATTTGGCCGTCAGGTTTACGTTGTAACATTTTGCGCAAAGTTTGGTTGTTCTGAATTCATTAACCATCAGAATATCTGCATGCCGTTGTTTTAGTGCTGCGATTAGTAACCGATTTGATGTACGCCTATATCCGCGTATTGGCGAGTTCGTTGCAATCTCTGTTGAACCGATGCAGATTAACGTTTTCTCTTCTTTGTTTGGTACCAGTTGTTGCGCAATTTGGTTGCAGGCTTTTTGTCGGCAAATGTATTTCTTCAGCTTCAGCCGAGCCACCTTTCTTTGCGAGAAAATTTGTTGTTTTTATTGTAGTATCTCAAGTTGAAATTTACAATATTCACGAAAGTTCGATGAATTCGCAGACAATTCTGATTTTGTGGTGAAATCTTTTGTACATTTCTCCAGTTTTATTTTTTGCGAATAGACACCAGAAAGGTGTTGATAGTNATTTCTCCAGTTTTATTTTGCGCGAATAGAAACCAGAAAGGTGTTGATAGTACGAATTTTTGATTTTCACAGGATTATTGTTCTGGATGCCTGCTAAAATGAGCCGACACCCAGGATCTAGCCCAATCTTGTTGTCGTATTTTGTTCCGCGTATTTTTATTAAATCTCCTGTACAATCTGTTTCATTTGGTTTCAGTTTTCTCTTTTTCACTAGCTTAGTTTCGTTTTGTACTTTTATTTGCTTTTCCATGCAAAAAGATACGGTTTGAAGTGAAGAAAACGTTTTAGTGCACGTTGAAGGAATTTTAAAATATTTTTTAAATTCACTTTTATCGAAGGAAGAAAATGGTCCTTTGAATAATTTCAATCGACACAATAGTTGGTACAAAGCCAATCGATCGTATCTCACGTGATGTAAGCCGTGTTTTAGTTGTGGTATTAGTGAAAAATTTTTTATTTCATTTTTTTCATTATACCGTTGCAGGTTGAAAAACAATTCAATCGAAGACCAAAATAGTTTCACATTCTCCAATTCGTGTAGTTTATTTCCGTTCCAGAGTAAGTCTACACGCATACGATCTAGTAACGCTTCATCAGGGATATCTTTGCAATTTTTGTCGAATAGGTAGCTCAGTGTATTATATACCTTTTTTTTGTCTTCTTCAAATTTAAAATATTTTCTGAGCCGAGTATAACCGTGCATCCAAATATTGTTATGGAATATAGTCAGAAATTTATTTATTGAGGTTTTTTCGTAGCATATTATACTCCTGGTCTATTGTATATTTTGGTCTTTTCTTTACCATTAGATGGTAATAACAGTCAAGAAAATTCATTGCGTCAAAGTTTCCTTGTACCCAACGTTTCATCAAGCTAAAGTGAATGTATCTTGATACCTCGACGAATAGACACGACATCTCCTCCACATCCTTTTGTATTTGATCATATACGGCGTCATTTTTGCACGACGATCGTAAAGCTTTTTTCACCACGGAAACTGTTTTATTAGTTTCTGATTCTTTGTCGCCATGCGGAGAACCAAGAGAACCAAGAATAAAAAATTGTAAGTTAATTTATTAGCAATGACGGTTACAAGCTGGCAGTTACATACATAAATTTCAGTTGAGTTCTACTACACTTACGGACAAAAATCGGGACATATGTAATGCATCGAATCCGAACATACAATTTAGATTTTAGAATAAAAAGGATATAATATTTTTAATACAGTTTAATTTAAAATAAAACTAAGAGAAAAAAACTTGATTTTATAAAATATTCAGCGGGACAATTTTCTCAAAATCGGCACTGTCCCGCCAAAGTATGCAAGTATGCATAATCAGACCCTTAGACTAGCATAAAAAATACTTTATAACTAAGAGAAAGAAACGTGATATATTTAAGAGTACACTCGAAGAGAACACATTTATTCTACACGAAATGCCTGTCCCCAACCAGCGCTAATGCTCGTAAATATGCCTGGATTTGTGTACATGTGTACGTAAATATTATGCAGCTTATCTTCAATCACCTTCCAAACAAAACGCAAACGCTGAGCGAGAAAAATAAAATAACAGCCTGCGAGTAATTAAATCTTGCAATAAATTTTTAACCAACTTCCCGAAGAGCTAGAGACTTGAAACTTCAAACTTACTTCAAACCCGATGATAATACAATATGAAAGATTGAGATGAATTGGTCCGTTAGGTGGCGCAAGGGTCGAGATATTTATTTTCGTTTACAATACTAACTCAAAATAAAAATCGTTTGGGAAAATAAACTGATCTAGAAAAAACTAAGTTTACGTGTATCGGCATTTTTTGTGTCATTTAAGCGGTCCTGCATTGTTATCTGGTTACAAATTTTTATTTTATACTGAATATTATTGTTATAAACTGAATAAAAAATATAAACACAACCAGATAACCTGATAATCAGATAGGTGTGAACAGCCATACTAATTAAAATTTAACGAACTTCTTAGACTAGCATAGCTAAGAGAAAGAAACGTAATGTAAATGAAAATAGTGAAGTTATCTAGCGTAATATATTCCTACCCGGTTTATTTTTAGCACAAATTTAATCGGTAATCGGTTTTCCAGATTACGATTACGACACAAGCATTGAAGAGTCTTTCATCAAATCTGAGTTGGTATTGAAATATTTAGAGGATTATTATTTTTATAGGTTTTTATGAGAATTCACTTAAATTTCACCTCAAAAAATTCAGTTATTAAAGTTGTTAATACTAAGCGACAACAAAAATTAAAAAAAAATAAAATAAATGACCTAAAACAATTAAAGAAAAAAACACCACGCATTTACATGTACAACAAGAACAATAATAACAGAAAGGCATAGAATGAAACTGAGCATTGCCAGCTAAATTTAGTCGCATTCGCAATTATTTATGAATGTATTTGCGCAACCGAATTCCGGACAATCGGTTCGCAAGAAAGCTAAGCGGAAAGGTGAAAAATATTTAATTGCAAACGTAAGATATCGTTTTCAATCAGTGCTAACTAGGTATGTATATATGTAAGTATGTAGTATTTACGCCACGTTTAAAACAGATCTTATCTATCTGCCAAAGGAAGTAATGGATTTTCCTGACTTTAAATATCCTGCTACCATGCGCGAATCCTACATATTGGCTAGTGATGTATTGAAATACTTTCAAGCATACGCTCAACATTTTAATTTACTGCAAATTTACTTACAAATTGAACAATAATTAAAAATAAAAACATATATAGGGACTTAGTTACAGTGTGTGTGTGTGTTTATGTGTTGGCATGAGTTTAGATGGTTTTGGGCATATCGATGTTGATTCATGCATTCCTTTGTGTGTGCTACCTTTCCAAGATGTATACTTTTAGTTGTAAAAGTTCGTCTTCTGTTTATTTTTGTAGTTCTTAATTGCCGCAATTTTGACGAGCCGTTGTTCGTTCTCAACATGTGATCTTTCCTTCAATCAATGCAACAAGAAGCTTTCAAACCGAGACGCGAAGCCGATATATGGAGCGCAGAGAACTATGACAAGAAATTTATATCGCCTAAAAGTAGGCTTGAAGTAGTGATTACGCATTTTGTGGGCGCATAGTTTTTGATAAACGTCTCCTCGATGTGTGTGTATGTGTGTGTGATGTTCACATGCGATATGCGCAAGCGCCGAGTTGGGAAGTTGGTCAAATCTTCGAAATTCGAACATATAGCTTGCATTCAGCAATAAACAAATGAAAAATTGGGGCTCGGTGCACCTTTCTGTCATGATCAAACTCTGCTGGCTCCAGTATCCATATCGTGATCGCCTTCAATTATTTAAAACATAATAATTATTAATTTATTTAATTATTTAACGTTATTCATTTATGCTCATTTCTATTTAAAAAAATTAATTTCTGAATACTTTTAACACAAATTATATAATTGTATAATTACAAATTAACACAAATAATTAAAAAGTGCATACAATTTAGTAATTTTGTTGCTTTTCAAATTTATCAAGTTATTTAAAGCGCTTTTTGAATTCTTAATATGATATATCTGATTATATGTACATATATAAATTGAAAATATTCGATATTTACCATGTCATAGCATGCTACGTTGCTCATATGCCCATGAATATATGCGTGTTATCCTTTCTAATTCGTTCATTGGCAGCAGCACATTGCAGAGACGTAACGCAATTTCCTCATCGGCTGTAATAACCCTTTCAGCGCCAAAGTTACTTGTTATTTGCAAAAATTTTCGAAAAAATTATGGTGTTTCGCGCAATTTTCTCCAAGGTATAGTACATTTTAAATTTTTATCGAAAAGGTAGCTGTAAGTGTATACTATATGTATACTTTTTTTTTGTCATGTTCAAATTTAAAATATTTCCTGAGCCGAGTATATGCGTGCATCCAAATATTGTTATGGCAAATAGTCAGAAATTTATTCGCGTTTTTCACAAATAAATTCGACCGATACGAACTATCGTATAACTTGAGGTTTTTTCGCATACATTATGTTTTATATCATATATCAGGGTTGTGGTCAGGATTACCATCTTACTCACGATTGTATAAAAATTCCGTCATTATATCATAAATCAGGTTTGTCAGGATTACATCAAAATTCCGTAGTCATTATATCATAAATCAGGTTTATTGTCTGGATTACCAATTATCTTAGGATTGCATCAAAATTCTGTTATTATATAATAAATCAAGTTTAGTGTCAGGATTACCAATTAACTCAGGATTGCATCAAAATTCCAAATCAAATCAAAAATTAGGTTTATTGTCAGGATTACCAAATAACCAAAATTGTACATGTATTTCTACTACAGTATTCAAAGATGTACATATTTTTCGTCATATATGAAATAATCACATCTTATTTGTGAAAGTTCTCGTGTTTTTGTAAGGATGAAAACGTTTTAGTGCACGTTGAATGAATTTTAAAATATTTTCCAAATTCACTTTTATCGAAGGAATAAAATGGTCCTTCGAATAATTTTAATCGACACAATAGTTGATGGAACGCAAATCGATTGTATCTCAAGTGATGTAACCCGTGTTTTAGTTGTGGTATTAGTGAAATTTTTTTATTCTTTGATTTCATTATACCGTTGCAGGTTGAAAAATAATTCGATGGAAGACCAAAATAGTTTAACAAAATTCCAAATCAAATCAAAAATCAAGGTTGTGGTCAGGATTACCATCTTACTCACGATTGTATAAAAATTCTTTCATTATATCATAAATCAGGTTTGTCAGGATTACATCAAAATTCCGTAGTCATTATATCATAAATCAGGTTTATTGTCTGGATTACCAATTAACTCAAGATTGCATCAAAATTCCAAATCAAATCAAAAATCAATCACAGGTACCAGTTTTGTCAAAAATGTGGTACATGCTGGAATCGAGACGTCAATGCTGGAAAAAACATTCTCTACCTGGGAGAATGTATCATCGATCAACACGAAAAACACAACAATTTTAGCAAATAAGATGTCACTATTTCTTCCATAACGGCAACTGTGTACATCTGACTGGCAACAGTTTAACTTATGTTAGTCATCACCTAGCCGATTTTATGTTGAACGTCACGCAGAAGCAGATATTCAGCGTTTCACTGAAAATGGCGCTGTTTTCAAAGACGGCAGCGCAGCTTCTTTCTCTTATGTGATTTTTTGCACAGGATATAAATACACCTTCCCCTTCTTGAGTGTGGACTGTGGCCTAAACGTTGATGTCAATTGGGTGCATCCGCTCTACAAACACTGTTTAAATTAATAAGCCCACGATGGCCGTCATTGGGCTACCACATCAAATCTGTCCAGCTCAACTTTTCGATTTACAAGTGCGTTTTACGCTTGCTTTCTTTACTTTGTTGTTTTTGTTGTAGTATCTCAAGTTGAAATTTTCAATATTCACGAAAGTTCGATGAATTCGCAGACAATTCTGATTTTGTGGTGAAATCTTTCGTATATTTTTGTAGTTTTATTTTGCGCGAATAGACACCAGAAAGGTGTTGATAGTACGAATTTTTGATTTATTTCAATTTCCCAGGATTGCATCAAGATTCCAAATCAAATCAAAAATCAGGTTTATTGTCAGGATTATCAATTTACTCAAGATTGCATCAAAATTCCGTCGTCATTATATCATAAATCAAGGGTGTGGTCACTATTACCTTTTTACTCAGGATTGCATCAAAATTCCAAATCAAATCAAAAAACGAATTTTTGATTTTCACAGGAACATTGTTCGGGACACCAGCTAAAATGAGCCGACACCCAGGATCTAGCCCAATCTTGTTGTCGTATTTTGTTCCGCGTATTTTTATTAAATCTCCTGTACAATCTGTTTCATCAAAATTCCAAATCAAATCATAAATCAGGTTTATTGTCAGGATTATCAATTTACTCAGGATTGCATCAAAATTCCAAATCAAATCATAAATCAGGTTTATTTTCAGGATTACCAATTTACTCAGGATTGCATCAAAATTCCAAATCAAATCAAAAATCAGGTTTATTATCAGGATTATCAATTTACTCAAGATTGCATCAAAATTCTGTCGTCATTTAAAAATTCCTTCAACGTGCACTAAAACGTTTTCTTCACTTCAAACCGATGGAGTGTCCATATCATTTTGCATGGAAAAGCAAATAAAAGTAAAAACGAATTTTTGATTTTCACAGGAACCTTGTTCGGGACACCAGCTAAAATGAGCCGACACCCAGGATCTAGCCCAATCTTGTTGTCGTATTTTGTTCCGCGTATTTTTATTAAATCTCCTGTACAATCTGTTTCATCAAAATTCCAAATCAAATCATAAATCAGGTTTATTGTCAGGATTATCAATTTACTCAGGATTGCATCAAAATTCCAAATCAAATCATAAATCAGGTTTATTGTCAGGATTATCAATTTACTCAGGATTGCATCAAAATTCCAAATCAAATCATAAATCAGGTTTATTGTCAGGATTATCAATTTACTCAGGATTGCATCAAAATTCCAAATCAAATCATAAATCAGGTTTATTGTCAGGATTATCAATTTACTCAGGATTGCATCAAAATTCCAAATCAAATCATAAATCAGGTTTATTGTCAGGATTATCAATTTACTCAGGATTGCATCAAAATTCCAAATCAAATCATAAATCAGGTTTATTGTCAGGATTATCAATTTACTCAGGATTGCATCAAAATTCCAAATCAAATCATAAATCAGGTTTATTGTCAGGATTATCAATTTACTCAGGATTGCATCAAAATTCCAAATCAAATCAAAAATCAGGTTTATTATCAGGATTATCAATTTACTCAAGATTGCATCAAAATTCTGTCGTCATTTAAAAATTCCTTCAACGTGCACTAAAACGTTTTCTTCACTTCAAACCGATGGAGTGTCCATATCATTTTGCATGGAAAAGCAAATAAAAGTAAAAACGAATTTTTGATTTTCACAGGAACCTTGTTCGGGACACCAGCTAAAATGAGCCGACACCCAGGATCTAGCCCAATCTTGTTGTCGTATTTTGTTCCGCGTATTTTTATTAAATCTCCTGTACAATCTGTTTCATCAAAATTCCAAATCAAATCATAAATCAGGTTTATTGTCAGGATTATCAATTTACTCAGGATTGCATCAAAATTCCAAATCAAATCAAAAATCAGGTTTATTATCAGGATTATCAATTTACTCAAGATTGCATAAAAATTCTGTCGTCATTATATCATAAATCAGGGCTGTGGTCACTATTACCAATTTACTCAGGATTGCATCAAAATTCCGTCGTCATTATATCATAAATCAGGTTTATTGTCAGGATTATCAATTTACCCAGGATGGCATAAAAATTCCAAATCAAATCAAAAATCAGGTTTATTGTCAGGATTATCAATTTACTCAAGATTGCATCAAAATTCTGTCGTATTGGCGAGTTCGCAGCAATCTCTGTTGATCCGATGCAGATTAACGTTTTCTCTTCTTTATTTGGTACCAGTTGTTGCGCAATTTTGTTGCAGGCTTTTTTATTTTATTAAATACGCGGATATAGGCGTACATCAAATCGGTTACTAATCGCAGCTACTGTTCGCTGTTTTCACGCGAGTTAAATCTGCAGAGAAACGTCGTCATTATATCATAAATCAGGTTTATTGTCAGGATTATTAATTAACTCAGAATTATATCAAAATTCCGTCGTCTTTATATCATAAATCAGGTTTATTGTCAGGATTATCAATTTAACCAGGATGGCATAAAAATTCCAAATCAAATAATAAATCAGGTTTATTGTCAGGATTATCAATTTACTCAGGATTGCATCAAAATTCCAAATCAAATCAAAAATCTGGTTTATTATCAGGATTATCAATTTACTCAAGATTGCATCAAAATTCCAAATCAAATCATAAATCAGGTTTATTGTCAGGATTACCAATTTACTCAGGATTGCATCAAAATTCCAAATCAAATAAAAAATCAGGTTTATTATCAGGATTATCAATTTACTCAAGATTGCATCAAAATTTTGTCGTCATTATATCATAAATCAGGGCTGTGGTCACTATTACCAATTTACTCAGGTTATACAAGAAATAGTCACTCAAGATTCCGTCGTCTTTATATCATAAATCAAGTGTGCGGTCAGGATAACTAATTTACTATGGGTTATATCAGAATTTCATCATTATAGTCATTTCGTACATACAGATTTAGTAGTTTAACTGAAATCTTTAAATTTAAAATTCGCGGCTGAAAGGGTTACAATTTCTGCTGCGTTCGATGCTACGCCTATCGGAGGAAATATCCGAGTAAAATCTGCAGAATAAAAAATGTTTGGTTAATTTCCCATTAAACCAATGCAACCCAATTTGTCAGAAATCAGACTTTTCAGAACAAAAATTATGCGTTTAATTGAAAATTCAACTTTTGTTTCACCATAATTATATGAAATAAAGCTTAAATTGGTTAACAGTGAAATAAAACAACTGCATTGATATTATATTTTATTAATTTATTTCATATAAAATGATATTTTAATATAAAATGAAATTTGGGATAAAAAATAGCGGGATATTTTCTTCCAAATGTTCGCCTGCAGCCCTTTTTTCCTTGTCATATAACATCATATCCTAATATTTAGTGATATTACCGAATTATTTTTTATTATAAATCATATATTTAATTAAAGGTTTTTTGTGCTCTTTTTTATCTTGTGCATATCTTTTTTTAGCCAGACTTTGAAGCACGGCTTACGCATGTTCCAGAAACTCATCCATTTTTAATTTGTTCTACTATTAGAAAACGTTCTGGGACTTATGAAAATCGCAATTAAAAACGGAGTAGTCTCCACAATCCTGTTGGTATCAACCTTCAAAAATCCCGAAACAGAAAAGTTCAAAACTGAGTTAATACAGCCGCCTTAGGTTTTTGCTGTGAATCGCTTGTTTCTTGTTTAAGCTTAGCTTTTCTATATACTAGGCTTTATTCCTTTGATAATGACCAATTGCTGAAAATTTCAAAGCAATCCGCTTATTATTAAAAAGTTATGCTACTGTAAGTAATAAAATGTCGTACATGCACTCGGTTTTGATTGCCAGTGTATATTTAAAACACGTTTTAAAACATTTTGTTTTAAACACGTTAAACATATGTATATAAAAAAACATCATATAAGTAATAGTTTTTGTACTTTTCAAAAGTTTTATTTGCAACACCCGAATTTTTTCATCCGCCCGTAGTGAATACACGGAAATCGAAAGTGAACCGGTTTGGAGATAATAGTTGCGTTTTTTTACTCATTTCCAGTAAAATCCAGTAAAAGTTTTTACGAATTTTCATGTTTTGGCGTTTTCGTACGCAAAAACTTGCAAAGTAGGGGAAATTGAGAGAGCGAAAAATGACAGCTGAAGTTGCAAGTTTTTACTGGATTTTACTGGATAAATTTTTACTTGTAAGAATTTGCCAGTACGAAAAACAGCTGATCGCATGTTGCTGGATGAAATTTAAACTAATAAGGAAACTGTTTGTGGCTTTTTATTGTTGAATTTCACAAAATAAACCTATTTAAATACAAAATATATTGTTTTATAAGGAATTTGCTGCGAATAAACAACCAATTTATCAGCTGTTCATGAAACTTGTAAATTATTACTGGAAAAGCGTTCGCGTACTTTTTTGCAAATTTTTTCTATGAGAGCGAATTCTTAGAAATAAAGTTACTGGAGAGTTACTGGCAAGTTACTGGATAATTTGTAAAAAAACACAACTAATAGTTGCGTTTTTTTACTAATTTCCAGTAAAATCCAGTAAAAGTTTTTACGAATTTTCATGTTTTGGCGTTTTCGTACGCAAAAACTTGCAAAGTAGGGGAAATTGAGAGAGCGAAAAATGACAGCTGAAGTTGCAAGTTTTTACTGGATTTTACTGGATAAATTTTTACTTGTAAGAATTTGCCAGTACGAAAAACAGCTGATCGCATGTGCTGTATGAAATTTAAACTAATAAGGAAACTGTTTGTGGATTTTTATTGTGGGAATTTTCAAAACAAACATATTTAAATATAAAATATATCGTTTTATTGGGAATATGCTGCGAATAAACAACCAATTTATCAGCTGTTCATGAAACTTGCAAATTATTACTGGAAAAGCGTTCGCGTACTTTTTTGCAAATTTTTTCTATGAGAGCGAATTCTTAGAAATAAAGTTACTGGAGAGTTACTGGCAAGTTACTGGATAATTTGTAAAAAAACACAACTAATGAGACTCATAACACCGTGCGATGAAAACAAAAAAAATTCAAACCACACGAAAGAATCGATATACTCACGAAACTATGAGCCAAATATAAGGTTCGTTCGCGTAGCTGTTAATTGTTCATGTTTAACCAAAACTTACAGGTTTTTGCGTTCGCGTACGCAAAAAACTTGCAAAGTAGGGGAAATTGAGAGAGCAAAGTGACATTTCTTTTTGAGGGGAAGCTGTTAGTTTCTGTTGGAAAAATTTTTGCCAACAGCAATTTGCCAACAGGGAAACAGCTGATCAAAAACAGCTGGTTGGCATTTACGCAAATCACAAAATTTAATTTGATGGTTTGGAAGATAAAAATTACAAAATGCGACTAATTAAACTTGTAAGAAGTAAGTAGTTATTTGTTTAATCAATAAACTGTGTCAGTATAACACTTTGCGATGACTTTTCGTACGTTTTAAATTTTACACTTTTGAATGTAAACAAAAATTATATCAGCTGTTCGTCTAACTTGCAAGTTTCTGCAAATTTTCTGTTCGCGTACTATTTTGGATATTTCTCTCTTGTGAGCGAACAGATGACATTTCGCCGGAATTTGGCAGTTGGTTGGTTTCTGTTGGAGATTTTAAACGAACGCACCTATAATAAAACTGCGATTTTAGTTTTTCACGCTAACGTCAGGACTTTTTGCAAGTCTTGGTTTCTGGTGATATTGAAGGCGATGGTGATGCTATGCGGCGCCAGCATAACAATTTAAGCGATCTTAGCTTTCGATGTATGATATTTAATTATCATTCTATGAACATTTTCCATAATTGCGTACATTTTTTTCTCAAAACACCACTTATTTGCGCCTTATTTGATTTAATTTCATTCAACTAATTCAATTTCAT